TAGTGATTCCGATGTACAAAAGAAAATTTCTATATTCCAATCCTTTCCAGTAGGACAATACATCCAGCCCTCTAGTTGCTCTATGAAGCTCTTTGGGTAACTTTATTTTTAGCATCTGCATTGAGACACCTTCCGTTACCTTTGCAGACCATTTTAGGGATTTATTTTTATAAGTACCATCACGCCAACCTGATAATAAAAATAAATTAAATTATTGATCAGGATGGAAGATGGATGAGTACAAGAGTTAATAAAAATATCTTTACCTGTTAACAACCGTTTCATTATTCCCAAATCTATCAAATGAAGAGAGTCAGCTACAGGAAAACAATATATCATGTCAATTGGAAGTTTTAAGATTACAGAGTCAGTTTTATGATGGTATTCATCTTTCTTCAAGCGAAATTGTTCATCGGTTCTTTTTGAAAATTTTTTATTTGGATAGTAATTACTGTGCGTTATATGGGAGTACTCTCCAACAATGGTACACTTTTGGCATCCATGTTGAGAATTAAAATTTGCTACACCTAAAATTAAACAAATATTAAGTATAGAGAAAAGGTGGAACGTCTGACATTTTGGAGGCAACATATCTGGAAATTGTAGTAGTAGTAGAACGAGGTTATATGCCGCAGAGGGAAATATTTATGTGTCATTTTGCTCCAAGCTTTCTGGATTTTCATAATAACGACATGGAAGTTTTTAAAGCAACGTACTATACACTGTCTTATTCTCATAAACAAAAGTGTCCATGTAGGTGTTACGAAAATAGAGAGGGCTTGGAACAGAATAAGGCATATTACCCCTGCGACGTATTATCCCGTTTTACTTTACTATCGGGAAGTAGGTGTCAAAATTTGTTTACAAAAAATGTATTTATTATTACATACCTTTAACAAAAGACCTTGCTGGCGAATCACATATAAAACACTTTAATTGTACGTGTATTTTATAATCGCCGATCACCACACCATTATTCAATATTAGCAATAACTCCTCTACAAATTCAGATAAAAACTCATTTAAATTGCTAGGCTTTCCCTTCCCATAATATATGCCAATTATCATAGGCTTACATGAAATTTCATTGACGTTAAAAAGTATGGGCCACAATTCGTATTTCGAGGAGTTGAAAATCGGCAATCCGTCAATGTTTATATTTATAGAAATATTCTGGCTTTTTTTCATGTTATGATATAATTCTAGCAAACACTTAGTTAATCCATTATGCCAATATTGACCTCCAGCAATATCCCGTACATTGATTTTACATGGAGTAGCCAAGAAAGTTCTAGGGTCCCTCGGAAACTTGACCTCTGTATTTTTATTTAAAATTTGTAAAAGATCTTTAATGGCAACGTGATTAATGTTATACTTCAGTGCCCACTCTTTTAGATCTTGTTTAAAATCAAACTTCTTTAAGTCATCCGTTTCACCTTCATCGAAATCCAATGAGCTCGCCGGTTGTTCTGAAGCCAGGTCTTCTATTAAGCCACTGGTACTGGTATCCTGAATATTTAATTCTTGGGGATCAGTAGATTGAGTACCAATAAGACCGTCATTAGTTAATTCGCAAAATTCTTCATATTCTGTATTATTTGCAAACTAAAAATTTTTTACGCTATAGAGTGGTCATCAATTTAAAAGCCATATTTACCTGACTAGTTGTGATTCGCTGTAAATTTCGTTTTACTTTTCTTTTAAAATTACCACTTCTAACAATTTTGTGCCAAGACATCACTGTATTTACAAAGGCTGCAGTAGTGGAACAACGTGGGAATTAAAAGCCGCGACCGTCGCTAAACGGTGTTTTACTGTGACTAGTTGGTTATACCTTATCCCATAAAGTTATATTTCTATCCACATGACTTTTTGCAACTCCTTTAGGTGTTAATAAATGCTATATTGCCTTAAATAGGCCGCATAAAGTGCCAAACAGTTAAGCAATTGTTTCATGACCAAGTGGCTCTGAATAGGTAATTTTTTTGCTAAAATGGTTCTATTTTGGAATTTTGGTTGCCAAAATAATGCTAGAATTTAACTTTTCCAAAACCTAATGATCTCAAATCCATTAGGCCCTCGTTTAAGGCCATAACAGCGTTATTGTTAACTCTTAACTAAATCTAATATAACTTTTATTTAACTTAAAGATCCTAGTTCCTATTAGGACAATATTTAACTTGAATATTTCCATCAAGCAAGGCAATGACTATTACAGAACCTTTATGCGGCTAAAAGGCAACTTTAAAAACCAACAGCTTAGGAAAATGTTACTTGGGTATAGTCCATTCACTAACGGTAAAATATTGTAAAAACCTCTAAATTTTAAAGAACCACTGGGATTGACATGAAATTTGTCATACACATATAGCTAACGTGTCAAAGAAAAAAAGTGATATTGTGCCGATGTGTATTTTTGCCCTGGGGGTGAGTACCGCACCTTCTTGGGGGGTGAAAAGATATACATCCAAAATAAGTCCGGAAGTGGATAAACTGACTAATTCTAGGTAACTTTTGTTCTATAGAGGTTTTTACTAAATCAATACTTTTTGAGTTATTTGCGAGTGAATATATTCATTTTTCATCAAAAACACCACGTTTTTGGACGATTTCTCGCAAATAACTCAAAAGGTAAGTATTTTATGGAAAAAATGTTCGTAGCAAAAATACAGTTTATAAAAAAGTGAAAACAATGGTATATGTATGAAGTCTGTATACCCAGCAGAAGCAGAGTTATAGCTAATGAAAAATAGATTCTTACCTATTCGTCAAATTCCATATCGAATAATTCAACGTGAAATAATAAAAAAAAATGTTTTTTTACTTTTTTTTTTAATTGTTTAAAGAAATCTTTATTTTTAATTTTTAAAAAAGTTTCTAGCATCAAACGTAAGCAAGTTACGCTCAAAACAAAGTTGATCCCTTTTTTTGGTAAAAAATAATCATGAATATGATCTGTAAGTTTCATCGGTTTAAAGAGGTTATTTTTGAAAGATACTTTCATGAAATCGGCCAATTCGTCTTACAGTCGAATTGTCTCTTGGGTTATAGATTAATCGAGAGATCACATTTACTTCGATACACAGAACATATTTTTGACAAGTTGTGGAAGTCTTTGTAGAAATATTCAAACAATTAAACACTATCACTATCCGTGTGTCCAGAACTTGAGTTGTCGTTTGTGTTTATAACTACCGGTTCAATTGGTGGTAAAGTAGGATATTCTTTTTCTTTTACTTGAACATGCGCTACACAATTTTTCCAAATGTCAGTTTTGTTAAGTTCTTCGATCACTGTTCTTATATTTTGGACAACAACGTCACTTCATTGGGGAGATTGATTCATTTTCCGCAATTTCTTTTTTATATTGGCCCATATTTCAATTGGGTTGAAAACATAATGATATGGAGGGAGCCGTAAAACCGTATGCCCGTGGCGTTCAAAGAGTTTATCTATTACATATTCTTTTTGAAAATGTTGTTGCTTAATTAATTGCAACAATTCCTTTTTGGTACATTTACTAGGTGTTGCCATGCATTTGTTCTCCATAAATTCTATGATATCTCCCTTCTTGGAGCTAGTATTTGGAATTTTGGTGTAGAGTCTAGAATGGTATGACGCATTATCCATTACTATCACGGAATTTGTTTTAATATTCGGTAACAGCTGTTCCGTTGCCAATTTTTCGAAAAGTTCAGCCGTCATATCCTCATGATAATCAGCTGATGACACTGTTTAATGTTTTTGGCCGATAATAACAAGGCATTAGGTACAAACCCGCTCTTAGTCCCAGCATGTAGAATTATAATTCTTTTTCCTCTCGAACAAGGAGTATTCAAGCAGCACTTTTTGCTATCATCCATCCAGCCATATTGAACTACATCATGGGTGTCAAACCACGTTTCATCAAGATACACAATGTCTCTATTGTCATCTCGATATTCTTTAATGTATTTACAACTTATTTTCTACTGTCTTAACTCAAACTTAACTAAAACACAACACTACTGTTTGCACAAAAATATTAAAAATATACGTGAACTTGCTGTCGTACACGACGATACTGAATATACCATTTAGTATGAGAAACCTGAGAAGGCATTTTTGACCAGATAACGATCAAGTTTGAGCGTAATAACTTCCGAAGAATATGACTAATTACACTTCAGTAGTGCCCGATAAGATACGTAGAAAGTAATAAACCACAGCTGCAATGTGGACAATACCGTTAGTGATCAATTACAAATAATGATTATATTTCTGAATTATTCGGGACTGGACCCTAAAAATTCCTTAACTTTTATTGAAATTTAAAATTGATGATTAAAAGTATATACATACATAATGCAAATGAAATGTAATGTGCTTATTAATTTGAGAACTAAAAAATGAGACTATAATTTTACAAATAAAATAATTTATATAAGTTTAAAATAAAATAAAATAAGTTTATCACGACGACACTGTTATTGATGCTTGCCGCCTTTGAAACATGAGAAGCAATTTCTTACCTGATAACGGCAAAGCCAGATTTGGTATCAGTGTATTCACTTCCGAAAATTTTGACCAATTACATTTCAGTATTACCCAATAAGATACGTTCAAAATAATAAGCCACACCAATATCCATGTGGACTAATACCAGGAGTAATCAATAATTAGAATTACAAAGAATTATCTTTATTTCTATGTTTGCCGTAGAATTACTGACCGGACCCCAAAAATTGTTCTTTCCCAATTAATATCGTAACAACTTTAACATAGATTGCAAAAATTGAGTTCCAGAGCCGGGGAGAAAACCTCTACGCACGGAGAACAGCTGGAAACTGTGCTCCAGCTGTTCTCCGTGCGTTACATATGTAATGATTGTGCAGATTGACTCCTATATAAATTTGTAACGGCGAACGCGTGTATAGAAGTATAACTTCTACCGACAGTCCCGCTGAACTGCCACACCCGTTTTTTTTTTTATTTTTAATAACTAATATCAAAATAAGATGTAAATGAAAAATAAGTGTCTTTTATTAGCAATTTTTAAAATACATTCATAGTTAAACTAAATAACTATCTTCATAGTTTTCCCTTAAAGTAAATAAGTTATCCAGGCAGTCTTCATAATCATCTTTTTCTAAACCGCCGCTTAAAAATTGATGAAATCTAGCTATTTTAATTTTCCTCGCTGCCGTGTGTAACGTCTCTAACATTTCTCCGATTTCAGATCCACTATGTAAACCAGCTAATAATGGTATGCTTTCAACTCCTACAAAAAAATACAGTTTTAACACAAAATAGTCCATAAAGAAAAGGTAAAACAAAGTAATTAAAAACATTCTAAAATAGCGGTTTTTTTAAGGAAAAAATCATTCAAACATAAATTTTAGCAATTTGGTGTATTAGCAACTTAATTTTGATTGTTTTTAACTAATGCTTGAAAATGAAATGAAAATTTCAGTTCAACTGAAAGACGCCTCAATACATTCCAAAAAATTGAAAAATAATTTAATGTCTAAGACCAATCTGCAAAATTGCCTAATGAATTCAGGGATTACTGTTTTTAAATTCTTATTTTTAAATTTTTCTTTAAAATCGATTGTCTATCACAGATAACTTTATGGTCTTTATGATCTCAAGAGTAAATTGTTAAAGATGGGAGGTAATTTTTCGAGAAGTTTTTTTGCTTTTTTTTATAATATATTTGGCTTTAAGTTTTTTGTGAATTATAAAAGTGACACGAGTATTATTGCGGCGCAATTTGTTGAGAGCGAATTTGGATCTACGGATAGCTTCTTCGAATGCCGAATTACATTAAGGGGCCATTTTGCAAGTGGGAGATAATGTTTTTTTATCAACATACTTGTCAGCCGTCAAAGTGATACAGTCGGTTATGTGTTTAAGGGTAATGATTGAATCTGAATCAAAAGTTTAAGGGAGAGGATGTTTTCCATTTCAATTGTATATCTTGTCCTTCTTCTTCTTCAGTGCCTTCCATTGTCGCAGGCTTTTTAACCACGAGAAACGAAGACTTTACTGGGCATAACGAGTTAAAGAATTCGATATTTTTCTTCGTTCCGCATCACGTGCCCGAGGTACTTAAGCTTACGTTGTTTCACTAAATTAAGCACTTCTTTTTTCTTTTCTCATCCGCTGTAGGACCTCAACGTTGGTGATATGGTCCACATACGATATTTTTAGTATGCTTCTGTAAATCCACATCTCGAAAGCTTCAATCCGCTTTTCAGTGGCTTGCGTCAGTGTCCAGGCTTCAACTCAATATAGTAACACTGGAAGAATGCAGCACCTCACTATCCGCATCTTTGTTCCCAAAATGAGATCACTGCAGCACAGCAATAATCTCAACTTGATAAATGTAGATCGTGCGATTTCAATTCTGGATCTATTATCTCTTGAGCGTAGTCCCATTGTGAGTTGAGTGTAGTTCCGAGGTAAGTGAATCTGTTGACTCTCTGGATCTCTTCGCTACCTGCCATTAGTGTCCTGGGATCTAAATTTGCACGGCTGACAACCATGAATTTAGTTTTCTTAATATTAAGGTCTAGTCCGTATATTATGCTCAGAGTTCTCACTCGGTCTAGTAACGCTTGTAGATCATTTAGGCTGATCATTCCCCATCGCAGTGTCACAGCCGTTTGAGTCATAATGTGAGTGGCGCCTGTGTCGGTACCACTCACATTATGAGTAATATCTTGTCCAGTCAGCAAATTTTAGATTCCAGTAATTGCGGTTAGTATATATATATATATATATATATATATATATATATATATAATATATATATATATATATATAATAGCACTACGAGCCTAGTAGGCCCATGGCTTGAGCTGTTATTGTTTTCCATTTCTTCCTATTATTAGCCTTGTCCTTCCATCTTTCTATTCCCAGTGTTTCTAGGTCTTTCTCTACTTCTTGCTTCCATCTACTTCTCGGCCTTCCTCTTCTTTTTTTGTACCCATTGTATGCATCAGAATCATTTTTGGTACTCGAGAATTTGTCATTCTTTCTATGTGCCCTAGCCACCTGAGTCTCTGAGCCTTTACTACTCCCACTATACTAGGATTCTTGTACATATCTTCTAATTCTTTATTTGTTCTTCTTTTCCATGTATTGTCTACTATCTTGCCTCCAAATATCTTTCTCAAAACCTTTCTTTCCCATATTTCGAGCATACCTGTTTCGCCTTTGTTCAGTGTCCACACTTCACTGGCGTAGGTTACCACTGGTTGTATAACTGTTTTGTAAATCCTTATTTTGGCATTCCTAGATATCTGTTTACTTTTTAATAGCCTGTTTAAGGAGTACACGCATCGGTTTCCTGCCATTATTCTTGATTGGAGCTCCTCTCTAATATTTGGTTTGCATGTGAACATCGACCCCAGGTATGTAAATCTTTCCACTGCTTCAAATATATATGCTTTTTCACCCTCTACTTCTATTTTTAGATTTCCTCCTTTTTGTTCACTGTCATCTATCCATTCCATGTATTTTGTCTTACTTTCGTTGATGGCTAAGCCTATTTTCTTTGCCTCTCTATCTAGCCTCTTTACTACTTCTTGTAGCTCCCATTTGCTTCGAGCCAGTATTACTACATCGTCTGCAAAGGCTAGACATCGGTGCTTTCTTTGGTATAACAATCCCTCTCTGTTGACATTTGCATCTCGTATGACCTTCTCCAAACACAAGCTGAATACTGATACCCAATTCTTCTAGTGCTTTGCTCATTTGGTTCCGTTTTATTCTATCGTACGCTTGTTTGAAATCAATGAAGAGGACCCTTGTCGGCAGATTGTGTTGATAACTTTCCGCTTGCAATTCTCTGAGCGTAAATATCTGATCTGTTGTACTTCTACCAGGTCTGAAGCCACATTGGTACTCGCCGACAATGTTTTCTATCACTCCTGCCAATTTGTCCTTTATACACGCTGCAAGAATTTTGTATGCAGTATTCAATAGTGATATCCCTCTGTAATTTTGACAATCTGTCCTATCGCCTTTCTTATAAAGTGGGCATATAATTGCATCTGTCCATTCTTGTGGTAGTTGTTCTTTAATCCAAATCTCCTTTATTAATTTGAACATTTGCTCCTCTAGCGTTTTCCCTCCATATTTGAACATCTCTGCAGTTATATTATCACTTCCTGGACTCTTGTTATTTTTTAATTTCTTTATTATTTCCTTTATCTCGTTTCTGGTAGGGGGTGTTTCTTCTGTCTCATTTATTTGGTTCCTATGTTTCTCCGTTCTTATAGGCTGTTGCTGTTCTATCCTGTTTTCGTCATTTAGCAATTCATCGAAGTATTCTTTCCATCTAGCGGCTATTTCATTTTCTCCACTAATGGCGTTTCCCTCTTTATCTTGCGGTTAGTATATTCCTGATTAAAGTATAAAGAGATTATAATGGCAAAATTATTATTATCGTTTAAATAATCGCAAGTGTTCCAGAAAAGAAAGGGTGATGATTTAGGGTCACAGATGCTAAGATCTATAGCGGAGAAAGTATTAGATAGTTAAAGACAGTTAAAGTGTGTATATGAGGAAGTATTTAACAGACAAGAACCGTTAATAAAATACAGTTAAAATGTTTTCAACAATTGTTCCTCTTTTTATCTACGACTGTATTCCCACATAGTACTATGAGCAAAAGTCACCCACAAGTATGAATGATTGGGGAAGCTGGAAAATTGGATCAACAAATAGTAGGGAGGAATACATAGACTATAGACATGTACATATAGCAAGTTTGGTTGGACACCAGGCAGTAATTGCTACTACAGCTTCAAGGTTAGGTTAGGTTAGGTTAGGAGATATTAGAGAGAGAGGTTTTGAAATGTGGGTATACATGTTGAGAATATCCTGGATTGGTCATCGCACTAACGTATCGATATTAGAACAACTTAAAGTAAAGGATAGATTGCTTAAACATATACAACAAAGATATTTGCAGTATTTTGGACACATTGCTAGAAGAACAGGTACGATGGAAAAACTGATAGTCGACGGTAGAGTTGAAGGAAAGAGACCTAGGGGAAGATCCCCAAGCCGTTGGGTAGATCAAATAAAAATATTGATTAACCAAGGGTTACATGAAGCCGAACAACTAGCCCAGGACAGAGAAGGATGGAGGGAAATCGTGAAAAAACTGTAAAGGCCTGATGGTGTCACCACATCCCAAAAGGGATTAGGACTGAGGAGGAGGATTCCCACCATTTTGTCACATTAACATTTTGTTATAACTCAACATATCCAAAGCCATTCGCCTCGTGGGTAGAGACAGGTTTTATTTAGGTTGTGAACCGAATGTAGATGAAACTAGATTTAACTTAAACTTAAAACAGTTACGTATTGGGCGTTGGACTTAAGTAATTTGAGGAACCGGATTATAAATTTAAAAATCATTATACTTACTTTGATTATCAGACATATTTTCGTTTATATATCCATGGAAACCAACGTTATTTTTAAATATTTGTGGAAACGGATTTTTCACTGTAAGAGGATCATCTGCTACAGTTACGTTACTAGCTGTGGCGTCTGTTGAATATGATAAATACAAAGCTAACATTTCGTTTACTGATGAACATCGGTAAGCAGGTAATTCTCTTTGTTTCCCTGCTATATTCTGAGCCTTTTTCAATTTGTCTTCTTTTATACCTCTTAATGTTATATGTTGCATAAGTCGGCTGGTGCCTGAAAAAAAAGTCATAACATACGGTTATACATTGGACGGTTTATAAAAACTAATTCTAATTTTTTTTAAATCACAATTGAATCACTTATTTGAGAAACCGCATAAGTCACAAAACTAAAACTTTCGGAAAACAAGAAAAAAACTGTGCGAGGAAAACACGAAGATTTCTACATGTTAAAAACTGACCTAATTCAATCAATGATGGATAGATCAATGGAAAAATGGCCATAAGAGTGAAACAACAAGGAAGATGTTGCCCGGTGGACCAAGATGCTGATCCCGAGCTTAATGGACTGGGTAGATTGTCTGTTTTAGGACGTATCTTCATAGGTTCAGAAGGACAGATAAAGATAAATGCCTATACTGCGAATATTCCAACATTGCTACACACACACAATGCTGGAGTGTAATATATGTACAGTGGAGATAAACATTATGTATAAAGAAATAGGTATGAACCCTGTGACTGTAAAAGAAATAATCGTGAAGATGACGGGAAGTACGGAGAGATGGAATAGTGTTCACAATTACATCCGAGCAGTCATTAAAAAGAAAGAAGAAGAAAAACACCAACCGGGTCAACGACAGAGATAAGATCTAATTACTATTTTAATAGGAATAAGCCGCAATTAAGGGTTAAAATAAGTTTATTGACATTTGAATATTTGATCTTTGATCTTGCACTGATAACTTGTTTATACTCCAACAATTAATAGAAACAAACAATAAAACAAACTAAAGGACTAAATACTATACATAAAATTTACTATTGTAAATTATTGTAAATGAGCAAGAAATAAGAAAAGAATGGCAGCTGTATATATCAGAGTTGTTTGAAGATGACAGGAATAATATTGTCGAATTCTACCAAAACTGTACTGACGGCCCAAAAATTATGAAATGCGAAGTGGAACATGCTATAAATAATGCTAAAATTAGAAAAGCTTGTAGTCCAGATGATACACCAACTGAGTTGCTGAAACTAATAGAGAATAATAGAATGATAACATAAAAGTAGTAGTAAGACTTTTTAATTCAATATATAATACCGGAGTGATTCCCGCAGATTGGCTCAAATCCATCTTTATCGCAATACCTAAAAAACACAATGCGAGAAAATGCTCAGAATACTTCACAACAGAATTAGACGCAAATGCGAAGAAGATCTTGAAAATACCCAATTTGGTTTTAAAAATGCTATGGGAACCAGGGAGGCACTTTTTGCGCTTAACATCCTATTACAAAAATGCCGTGACCAAAGAAAAGATTTTTTGCATGCATGCATACATGTATTTGCATGTTTCGTGGACTTCGAAAAGGCATTCGATAAAGTAAAGCATGTAAAATTAATGCAAATACTGAAAGATATCGGAATAGATGACAAGGATATTGGTGTCATTAAAAATTTGTACTGGAATCAAACTGCTATCGTAAAAATTGGAGATAACTACACCGATGAAATCCCCATACAACGAGAAGTCAGACAAGGTTGCATTTTGTCGCCAACATTGTTCAATGTTTACTCGGACCAGCTATTTAAAAAGGCACTTGAGAGACAACCATATGGAATAAAAATCAACGAGGAACTACTTAATGTGATTAGATATGCAGACGATACAGTAATTCTATCAGATAATATTGAAGGTCTTCAAATTCTGCTTGATCCTATTCACGAGGTAGGAGAGGAAATGGGCATTAAAATAAACTCAAACAAAACCAAATTTTTAGTGTTTAGTCGTGACCCACATCCCGATGCAAAGCTTCAATTGAACGGAGTCCAAGTTGAGAAAGTTCACATTATGATATATTTGGGAACTGTGATAACGGACCAACTAGATCCAGACATAGAAATAAAACGTAGAATAGCAATGACTAAAACTACTTTTATGAAAATGAAGTCATTGCTTTGCAATAACCATCTCAGTTTAGAACTAAGACAGAGAATGGTTAAGTGTTATGTTTGGTCTGTACTTTTGTATAGTGCAGAAGTGTGGACGCTAAAAGTATCGATCATGAACAAAATTGAAGCATTGGAAATGTGGGTTCATAGACGAATGCTGAAGATACCTTGGACAGCAAGAAAATTAATGAAGAAGTACTAAGGAGCGTCAACAAAGACAGAGAACTGCTAAAGACTGTTAAACATCGAAAAATATCTTATCTGGAACATATAGTAAGGGGAAGTTGATATAAAATTTTACAACTGATCCTTAAAGGCAAAATAGAGGGCCGTAGAGGCCGTAAGTTTCTTGGTTAAAAAACATTCGTGAATGGACTCAGATATCAAATGCAGTACAATTATTCGATATTACAGAAGATCGAGAAGCCTTCGCAATGGTGATAGCCAAAGTCGGACAGTTCTGATATGGCACGCGAAGAAAAAGAAAGGACTAAAACAAGGATGCAGTATGTCACCCTTACTGTTTAATTTATATACTGAGGGAAAAATTGGAAAAACCACTACCAGGGAATGGGAATCCCAATAGGAAATGACGTACTGTTCTCCCTGAACTTTGCGGATGACCAAGTCGTCCTAGCTCAAGATTCTTATGATCTAGAATTTATGATAAAGCGTCTATACAGAGAATATGTAAAATGGGAGTTACCAGTCAGCATGAAGAAAACAGAATATCTAGTTATCAATTCAGATGCAAGGTTTGAAGTGTTGATAGACGAGGACGTGGGAATCAAACAAGTGGAGAAATTTAAATATTTAGGTGCACTCATTGCTTAGACTAGTTTGGGAGAAACAGAAAGTAAATACCGAATTAATCAGGGACGTAAAATTGTAGAATGTCTGAACTCCTTATGGTGGGATCGCAACATTTCCAAAAGGAACAAAAAAATAATAGCGCAAACCATGGATGAAATAGTTCTTTGTTATAGCTTTGAAGAGAAGATTATTGGCAGTTGAAATGGATTATTTGAGAAGTGCTAGAACATTATGACAGGAAAGGAAGACCAACGAATCTATAAGAAATAACATGAATGCTACAAAAACGGTCATTAACAGAATAGAAAGAAGAGGTTCAAAATGATTTGGACACATTGAGAATGCCTGACGAACGTTAGCCCCAAAAACTTTACAAATGGAAGTCCACTGGAAGAAGAAAAAGAGGTAGACCTCGACGCTCATGGAATGAAGGAATTAGAAGAGCGATGGATCGAGAGGTTTGGAGGAGAAGCATGCCTTGGATCGGGATGATTGGCAGAGGGGAACGGGAATACGGCGATAGCCGTCTCCAAAATATATTGTGTTTACAAGTTGGATTTAAGTCAAAGTCAAACAAAACTCCAAGTAAGAGAGGGTGGTTTTAGTTGGGAGGCAGGATAATAGATACCTGAATATTTGGCACTACTATCTTTAGTACTTTAAATTAAACTAAAACCCAAATTTTATGAACTCAAAATGGAGGTAGCATAAAAAATTTTCAAACCCCCCCTCAGACAAATTCTGGGTGCACCACTGACTCAGAAGAGCCATGACCATTTCCTGGAATTTAGTATCTACAATTTTGATATTCAGCTATAGATACATAAACCAATATTTTTTTAAATTTACCTATTTCACAATTAGGAGTAATACTTTGATAGAGTGATCCTTGCCATTTGTCCAAGCAATCGAGTAGGTCACTTTTTTCGTGTATCGGGAACGGCATTTGTACACTGGCCGCTACAAATTTTCTTCCGCTCTGAGTTAAATCTGCACTTAAATCTTTCAGCGTAAAGGGTGAATTTTTTAGCCTATGCTTTAATGTTACAGTATCCAATGCAGCTGCTAATATTGCACTGGAGTGGTAGGCCGATTTATGCTAAAAGAAATGAGATTGTAATTGTTTCTACAATAAATTTTACTTAAACATTCTGTTATCTAGTGACGATTTAGTAATTTAATTTAACATTAAAATCGATTTCAATAGAATAGTTCAATGTGAATTCAAAGCAGTGATGTCTACGTTTTAGGTACATGTTTCAATATTGTCGGATGCTCTGTCTCTGACCCACCGACTGCATCTTCTGTATATATCAACACTTGCTGTATAAATATGCGTTATTTTCAAGACAGGCCGTCCTTCACGGACTTTTTTAGACTCTGGAAGCCAATTCTGCTCAGGCTCTGTTCCTTAGTCCTAGAATCACAAGTTTTTTACGCAATCTGACTTTTATTATCAACCCAAAGAAGCTCCTATCCGATCCTAGAGTCTGGTACCCGTTGCATGATTTTTACGAATTATAACTGTTATTTTCAATCTAAGGAAGCTCCTGCCAAAATTGAGTAGATATTTAAAACGACTGCTGGTAATATGAGTTCTATTTTTGCTGATAATGATGATCGAAGACCAACAAGTTGGAACACCACAAGAGAATGGTGGCATATGTGTAACATTTCGATGTAATAGACTGGGAGCTTAATTAATATATTAAATTTATAAGTATTTACACATTAAACCTATAAGTAGACGTTTCGTCTTGGTAGTTTATTTTTGTCTTATGTAACTTTATTTTTATAAGTTCGTTTTAAATATATGCATTCATTTTATTATAGCTGCAGGGAGAACGCTACCGGAGGCTTTGTAATTATGTTTCATGTTCTCTTTTCCTTTAATTCTAATTGCACACGTTCTGTCAGATTTTGTTACAAATCTTTTTACCTGCTCCACGTCTTCTTGTACCAGAAAACCCACTCCAAGATTCCTATCTTGTATAAAACGTGTATGGACTAATATTTTCAATGCTGTTTCCAGTCAAATGTGTTTCTTGTATTACTATGATGTGTATTTTACATTTCTTTAGTTCTTCTATCAGGTCAATTAATGCTCCTCCCTCGGATACTCCTCTTGCAGTCCATGTCGCAATATTTAGGTATATATATTTTTATTTTTTGTTTTGCTATTTATGTTCAAACGCATTTTCTTGTTCATTGCTAGGGTCCGTCTGCATAATGGGTAATCTTTCTCTTTTTGCACTGCCATATGCCATTGCTGGGTCCATATTTCTAGTCTCACAGTTAGTTTTTTGTACCCTACCTTCACATTTTTACCTTCAGCTCGTAATTCCTTGCCTTTATATTTGTACCGGACATATATTGTTTCTCAGCTTCAATGCAGATTCTATTTAGACATCCTCTTTTAGGTGCTTTTGAATAAAATCTTTTACGTTATTTTTTAAAAGTGTTTCATCTGTTGCAACTGTTGGTAGACCTGTAATTACTATGTTATTTCTTTTCACCTGTTTTTCAATTCGTTCTACTTTGTTTTCAACCTGGGTTAATTAGTTTTTTGTTTTTTCTTTTTTTAGCACTATCATCTCTTCGCTATATTCATAGTTTTCATTCCTGATTTCTTTCACCCATCATCTTCTTGAACATACTCATAACGTCGTCATTATTCTCTGAATCTTCTTCCCTTAGTTTTCTTTTGCTTGGGGTTCTAGTCAGTAGGTTTTTGCTCTGCAGGAGAGCTTAAGTTGTCCTTCTATCTTTTCTCCTCTTACCTTCTGACGCGTAATCATCACTGTCCATGTGTGAGAGAGTTTACCAATATGACTGTTTCAAATTGTAAATAACCTTACTTACTCTTATTACTTTAAACACTAGTTTTGACTGGAAGGGTTTTTTATTTCAGAAATTTATCACTACGCTATTATGAAACCTATTTAAATTCACATATTTTATGTAAACAAACTGTAAATTATTTTTTGCTACTAATCGCGATATTTGGAGTTTTAGTAGGAAAAAAATTAATTTAATTGTATCTGCTTAGTACACTGTTGCTGATGAAGCTATCATAATATAAAATATAAAACACAAATTATGTGAACTTGACCCAGCTTGCAATGTGCATCTTTGCATATTGTCACAATTGAATTCTTGATACCAACATTTATCATGAAACATTCTTTAAATAACTAAAACATATTTTCCAATATCTCACCTAGAGAATGTTCTCAAAGTACCTTCACAAAATAATAAGTATGGTGGTAGTAAAACACTATGGTGGTCTTATAATACTTACATTATAATCCAAATTTTTAAAAATTCGTGGAGGTCCAGGCTGTCTCCATCCTTTACTACCAATACTTAAAGGCACTGTTAATGAAGAATAAGCGCTAAATTCATTAAATCCTAATGCCATGTTTAAAACTCTAACAGAATCATTTATAAGAGACTGATTCTTTTCTTCTTCTGAACTAAAGTCATTGTCAGGAAAGTATGATGGAATCACTGGCAATATCAACACTGATTTTCTATCATATTCATCTCTAATGTATTCTAAACAAGAAGATGACAAACCAGCAAAAGCATTGGTGCAATCTGTAAGAAAATGGAAGCCCTAAAAGAATAAAAAAATACTTTGAAATAGTATTGGAGGTCTTGTCCTGACTGTTCATATTCAGGAACTTTTGTCTTTAGCAATTTCAACAGATTCAAATATTGCTACCTATAAAGATAGCTTTACATCTAGGCATGATACTATATGACTAAGAAGATAAGATATTCAGCATAAGTCATGACGTCATTGGAGAGCTGCACGTTCAAAATGTCAGTTTTTTGTATGTATCAATAAATAATCTTTAATAAATAGTTTGGAGATATCCTTATGTGTACGATTATTATAATTATTAAACCTCTTAACTTATTTTCGTCAAGTAATTTCATCACAGAATGCATACAAATCCCATTTAACTTTAACAGGAATTCAAATTCTACTCTCCAATGACGGCATGCGTGAACACAACCGATTTTGTGCTACGGGAAGATCCTATCTTGTTATTCATAGTATCATGCATCTAGCCCATGCAAGTTTCATGTTATGCAACTCCTTCATAACATATCTCTTACCTAGCCTGATCTATTTACATCAGAGCTATTTTTGTATAATTTTGAGATACCACTTTCAATGTTGCCAACAGAAGAAATATATCAAAACATTAACATTAGATATTTCACTTATAAATTTCAGTCCATCATTAAATATATTCAAATATAAATCACAAATTATTACATCCAATAAATATCATTTACAGTTGCACAATAAGGTAAAGTTTTATTCTAAACTATAAATTTTGTTATATTGGCAACATGAATTTGACAATAAATTGTGTCCAAATAGCATGAAAAGAGAACACATCCTAATTTTTTGTCTAGCACAGATATTGCTTGGAAATATCCCGTGGGCATGTGCAGTTGCATAATCTGTCTTGCATAGTATGGAATTTGCATAATGTAATGTCGACTTAATACATATTTTACTTTAGGAAATAGAAGTTGTACTGTACCTAAACCATAAAATCCAATGAATAGGTTGGATAGTCCAAGACTAGAATACTGGATATGGATTTGTTTACAGAAACAAATATGTCTACATTTGAAAAAGAAGGCTGCTTACTAAATAGTTCTCAGTGGAAGACTCTTAGCTTGTATATACTTCTCACTCATCTCATAAATGTATATTCTTTAATTTTTCTCTTATTTTAGTAATATATTCAGGAATTATTGATAAGTTTTCTACTATTGTGTGTATCATACATATTTGCATACTTGATACATAACAAATCATCTCGCTGTAAGGGAAGTACACTTCATATTCATTTCTTCTTCTTCTTCACATGCCATATCAGAATTATCCGACATTGGCGATCACCATTGAAAAGGCTTCTCGATCTTCTGCAATATGAAATAATTGTCCTGCATTTGGTAACTGAGTCCATTCACGAATGTTTTTTAACCAAGAAACTTGTTTTCTTCCTACACCTTTACAGCCCTCTATTTTGCCTTTAAGGATCAGTTGTAAAATTTTATATCAACTTCCCCTTACTATATGTCCCAGATAAGATATTTTTCGATGTTTAACAGTCTTTAGCAGTTCTCTGTCTTTGTTGACGCTCCTTAGTACTTCTTCATTAGTTTTTTTTTTGCTGTCCAAGGTATCTTCAGCATTCGTCTATGAACCAACATTTCCAATGCTTCAATTTTGTTCATGATCGATACTTTTAGCGTCCACACTTCTACACTTCTGCATTATACAAAAGTACAGACCAAACATAGCACTTAACCATTCTTTGCCTAAGTTCTAAACTGAGATGGTTATTGCAAAGCAATGACTTCATTTTCATAAAAGTAGTTTTAGTCATTGCTATTCTATGTTTTATTTCTATGTCTGGATCTAGTTGGGCCGTTATCACAGTTCCCAAATATGTCATTTTGTGAACTTTCTCAACTTGGACTCCATTCAATTGAAGCTTTGCATTGGGATGTAGGTCACGACTAAACACTAAAAATTTGGTTTTGTTTGAGTTTATTTTAATGCCCATTTCCTCTCCTACCTCGTGAATACGATCAAGCAGAATTTGAAGACCTTCAATATTATCTGATAGAATTACTGTATCGTCTGCATATCTAATCACATTAAGTAGTTCCTCGTTGATTTTTATTCCATATGGTTGTCTCTCAAGTGCCTTTTTAAATAGCTGGTCCGAGTAAACATTGAACAATGTTGGCGACAAAATGTAACCTTGTCTGACTCCTCATTGTATGGGAATTTCATCAGTGTAGTTATCTCTAATTTTTACGATAGCAGTTTGATTTCTGTACAAATTTTTAATGACACGAATATCCTTGTCATCTATTCCGATATTTTTCAGTATTTGCATTAATTTTACATGCTGTACTTCATCGAATGCCTTTTCGAAGTCCACGAAACCTGCTAATCATCTTCTCTTTGGTCACGGCATATTTATAATAGGATGTTAAGTGCAAAAAGTGCCTCCCTGGTTCCCATAGCATTTCTAAAACCAAATTGGATATCTTCAAGATCTTCTTCGCATTTGCGTCTAATTCTGTTGTGAAGTATTCTGAGCATTTTCTCACATTGTGTTTTTTAGGTATTGCGATAAAGATGGATATGAGCCAATCTGCAGGAATCACTCCGGTGTTATATATTGAATTAAAAAGTCTTACTACTACTTTTACGTTATCGTTCTCTATTAGTTTCAGCAATTGGTGTATCATCTGGACCACAAGCTTTTCTAATTTTAGCATTATTTATAGCATGTTCTACTTCGCATTTCATAATTTCTAGGCAGTCAGTACAGTTTTGGTAGAATTTGGCAATATTATTCCTGTCATCTTCAAACAACTCTAATTTTGTTATTAGTGTCAACAAGTACAGAGGGAACTGGTTGTTTAAATATTCATTTACTCTGTATCTATTTGTCTAGAACTTTGATACAACTAACTTTTCTCACATTAGATAGTAGTTGAACATTTAACTTGAATATTTAACAAGTTTTCAGTGTATGGATTAATAGATAGAATAGTTAAGCAGATAAACAGTTTGTATTGTCATGTTTTACAACTGGATTATTTCTGTATATTTTGAAAATAAATATATAAAGAACAATGCTTCTATAAGTTTAATTCACTGTCATATTTTCTAAGCTGTTTCATTTCTTAGTGGTACCATTTCCTTATAAGAGATAACAAAAGTGAGTATCATAATAAATATCTTTTATGTCATACATACTAGTAATATCCATAAATTGTTGATAAGAAAATGAACTTATTTTAGAGGATGAAAACAAAAATAAAAATATTTTGTATAAACAATTTTTGAATACTAAAAAGTTTACCTGAAAATTATCACATTCTTCAACATAGTTCCTAATTTTATCTGTAAAATCTTCTGAAAATTGATGGGATTTCCATAAACTTTGACCCAATGGAAATGCATCAAATGGAGTATTTTCATTGCAGTGCTGATACTCCTTAACAATTTCTACAGTTCTTGGATGGAATCTACCATAAAGAAAATCTGACCAAACCTTTGTTGTTCCTTCTAATTCATAATTTTTCTTTGTCACATCTTGGAGTTTTGTTACATCATCCAAATCTTGTTGAAATTTATTTTTATGTTCACTAGGTCCTGCTTGAACTTCTACTAAATTATCATACCAATTGGCTGATTCTTTAGATATGTCAGGCTTTGGATCATACAAGTCTCCTTGCTCTGGTAAAGACCCTAAACTACCTTGAAGATCAACTAATAAAAGTCTAGGGGTAAATGTAACTTGACCCTAAAAAATTCAAGTAACATTATTTTAAAATGTTTTGTAAAAAATGTTAAGTCATTTACAGAGAACCTAATAGAAACAAGAAATTTGAAAACTGTAATCACTTTTGTGCAAGAAAAAGATTTATAAATTATTATTAGACAGATATTATATAATATAAAAACTACTAATTTAACCAGAATGAAAATATAGACTAAAAATACTGGAAAACAGAAAAAAGGTATATATAAAAAACTGAATAAGAGGTTAATACTAATCAAAAATATGTTTGTACAACACATTCTGCAGAAAAAATGTAAACCAGATGGATTAAGAAACCAAGAAGGAATCACTTCATTAAAAAGGGAAACATAATTTAATATACAAACCAGAAAAGAAAAAGGGGAGATACAGAACAATTTGTATTGAACAAGCATACTAGGTAATATACATAAAAAGAAAACCCATTTGGTAAGTAAATTAGGAAAACTTCAAACGTTATAGGCACTACTTTCGGCATTACGCATACATAATAATTGTTTCTTCTATGCACCATCCTGTCATCACTGTCCTAAGATTATAAAAAACGTGAAAGCCTTTTTCACTTCAAACGAATGGATGATAGGGAGAACTTCCATCAAACCACCATACTGTTGAAAGTGATTTCCAATAGTCAAAAGAAGGAGATTAAGATAAAAACTCAACTTAAAAAGTTGGGTTTTTACCTTATTTTGTTTAACTTATTTTGTATGTACATTTATTCATACTTTTTGGGTGTGCCCTTCTCGATACAACACATCATGACTAATTGAAGAAGAGTTTAATACATTGTTATATTGGAAACTTAATTCTTGAACATTCCACCAATGTGCTCCTACAAAATTGGAATAATGACCAAATTGTATAGTGAGAACCTCACTTCCCATTTTGTTTAAAAGTAAATTATTAATTAAATTAATTAATCATTTAAACAATCCTAAAAATATATTTTAGAATGTAGTCTATAAGGATAAGGTTATGTTTTGAAATTTGAAATTTATATGTTTGTAAGCAATGACGTATAATATACGTCATTGTTTGTGAGACAAGAACAAGAGCATGATAGTATGATAAGAAGATAAGATATTGCGCATAAGTCGTGACGTCATTGGAGAGTTGTACATTCGAAATGTCAGTTTTTTGTATGTGTATTTGTATGTGTCAATAAATAATCTTTAATAAATTTAATGTGGCCTCTAAAGATCGAACTTCCTGTCTAACAATATTTTTGCCCCCACTACCTTTACATTCCCTCTTTTGTCTTTTTGCTCGATGCTACAACCACATAAAGGTTTGTGTGTTCTGTGCTACAACGGCCAACGGCAAAAGATAAAGTTTTAAAGTCGATTCAGACACATCAGTCACGAACAATCCGTTATACAAAATATTCTTTAATAGAAATATGGCGCCGGCATTCACATTCATCAGGCGACGAACAGTTTCCCACTTGTCAGATAATTAATAGTTCTGTGACCAATAAGGACCGGTTCGGCGCCGAGACTGTGACGGGACTGATGTTTCTGAATCGACCTTTATTCATCCTTAACGGAACCGAACGCCGACGCCGACGGCGAACGATGTTTATAAATAGACATTCGAGTTTCCTATTTGGTATTTGACCATGGGAAGTAGGTACGATGCCAAAATAAGTACCTACAGAAGAAGACGACAGGAAGACACCAACCAAAGACCAGGAATCCGACAGGTGGTGCAGCGGCCCAGCGGGATGTCGGAAAGAAGAAATGAGATATTAAATGAGAAATTAAATTTGAAATGTTATTATAGTTATGGCAATAAACGTTTTTATTTTATTTTTATATACCATTTAACCATGTTGTAACACGAAAGTCAGCGCCAACGCCAACGTAAAGTTTATAAATCAGCCTTAACATACAATGACGTGTACGTCATTTTAAAGTCTCTTGCACAGAATAATAAATAATTGTTTATTATTCTGTGTCCCTGTGGTACACAAATGTTTTTTTCTAACCTAATATTCTGACAAGTGACATTTGACACTTTGTATTGTATGACATTTGTATGACCAGCAGATTTTTTAGTGCAGTTTGCTGTATCACATTCTTTGAAACTTAATAGTTATTTCTATAGTAATTAAATTATTATTTAGATATATCTCTATTCAAGTAATCAAAATTATGCCTGCTGGAGGAGCCTTATTTGGTAGCTCAGCTGCTGGCCCAGGTTCTACTGGTGGAAATAAACATCTTATAGAAGTGAGAGCTGGAAAAATGAACTTAAAAGGTACTTTTTATTATCAGTTTTAAATGCAATAACATTTAAATTATCTTCTTGTTTAGGGCGGATGGTTTTGCCAGACAAACGCAAAGGTTTATTATATGTATATCAAAGTGATGATTCTTTAATGCACTTTTGCTGGCAAGATAGAACTACAGGCATTGTTGAGGATGATCTGATTATTTTTCCAGATGACTGTGAATATGTAAAGGTTCCTCAATGCACAACAGGCCGTGCTTACTTGCTAAAATTCAAGTCATCCAATAAGAAATTCTTTTTCTGGATACAGGTAAGAAAAAGTACAGCTGTTAAATTTGAATGTCAGTTATAATTGCAAGATTTACTTTTAGGAACCCAAAACTGATAAGGATGAAGATAACTGTAAAAGAATTAATGAACTGCTAAATAATCCATCAAGTGCTGTACAAAATACACCAAATCCTGATCAAGATCTGCAGTCTCTTTTAAATAATATGTCCCAGTCCCAGCTGATGCAGCTATTTGGCAGTGGAGTTGGTCAGATTGGAGGATTGTCTAGCCTTCTGGGAACCATTAGGTACTATAGCTTTAAAATAAAATTTGTGAAATTTTTAGACTGACAAATATTGATGTCTCCTTTAAGTTTACATTTTATTTAGATCTGATAATGTATAGTCATTTTTTCTCCATCAGATCAACTGTTGATTATAGCTTTTATAATTTCAAAATTATATTTCAGAGGCCCAAATAGTGGAAGTGCCCGTACTAGCACAACACCTGCTATTACACACAGAACTAATGTACCTACTACCCCCACACCAACACCAGGGACCAATTCTCAAAGTAGCACTACACCTGCACCAGGAACTACAACCCCTCAGAATCCAATTCCAACGGTTACTCCTGATGCTCCAAGGGTAAGAGGAAGTACCACAAGACCCCAAGATGAGAGTTCTCCTTCATCATTTGCAAGTCCTATTCAGTTGGCAGATTTGCAGAATTTTCTTTCAGGTCTTACTCCACCACCTGGTGCAGGAGCACCTGCTGCAGGAACTCAGCAGGCTCAATCAGGTACAGTAGAATGTTGTTCAAATAAATTCTTTATGAAATAAAATGTTTTATTATGTACTTAGATAAATCTCAGGATTTTGGGGTTTCACAAGAAAATTCTACTTAAAACTAACTTATTGTACTGTGTATATTAAGCCGGATTTATAAACGGACATAAACATAATTTTAGTCTTTAACCATAATCTTATTATATAAGCATAATGTTAAAAGTTAATAAATAAATGTACCCATTTAAAAGCATCCATAATACATAAGACATAAATTTAGTCCTTAAAACGTGACCTTGAAAGTTGGTAACTTTGAACATTTATGAATTAAGTATTAAACATTATGGAATTGTTGGAATATGCGCATGCGTTGGTAGAATCATCTGCAGTTTCCTCCTATACATAACCCTACTATTTTATTAATTTAATGTTTTTGGAGCCAATTCAACCACATATTTATTTATTTCACTTTTCTATGAATCTAAAGACCAGAAAAAAATTCTTCATGCTCTATAAAAATTTGGTTAGGTTTGTATTTTCTGAAGTAGTTCTTAAATATTATGGTTATGTATTATGTCTAGTTATAAACCAATCTTAAATCTTATGAATTATGATTGTGGTTGAAGTTATGTTTATGACTTATGATTATGTACTATGTCCGTTTATAAACCTGCCTTTAATCTGCCTCAAAATAATGCAAAAACTAACCTTCTGCAACCTCAAGGTTTTGGTGATTTTACTTCATTATAGCAATCATAGTGGCTACAGTTTATTACAACTTAAATTATGTTTGAAATCTCTGTCAATATTATTTTTATAAGGGACCATATAAAACAGTAATGAATATACATATATGGAGAAAAATTCTGAATGCCAAAATGACAAGGCATAGGTAAAGAAGAAACCATGTTATAGTGCCTGCAAGCACTCCAGACCACGGCGCAGTAGACGAAATTTAGTTTAGTCCCCACTTCCATGCGAAACACATTGTACTATGCACTGTATAATTCCACTTACAATAGAATCTTTCTGCCTTTACGTGAATTTGACTCCGCCTTCGCGCAGCTCCATGGTCAGGAGTGCTTGAACTTTCTTTAAATCACTTTAAGGTAAAATTGATTATAATTCTGTCCTCTTGAGTTTCATAGCATAGCACCTCATTATAAATTCAAAAATGTGCCAACACTAGAGCATTGTTAAAAAATTTAAAGCTACATGTAAGCATTTTTCATTAGAAATCTGCCTTTACTTGCTATCTTTCATTGTATCCTTCCTGTCTTATGAGACTCAGGTAGCTGATACAATAGGTTTGAGAATTAACATAAAACACATATGAAGGATTGGCTAATTCAATGCTGGGGAGTTGGATATAAATGTTTGGAAAATGAAATTTTATTATAATCTCAATTTATTATAGTAGTAAAACAATGAGGTTTTTTTCGTCACAGTTGTATGGATGGGTTTGATGGTTAAAATGTATTTTATGAGATATTACAAAAATACTCATCTTGGGATTCATCAATTGTTTATTGGAAATATTATCTCGTTATCACTTTTCTTCCTCCGTTGTGGCATGTAAAATTTGGCATGTGGCTGTTGTACAGCTTCCTGTAAAATGCTTGTATCATTTAATTTGAATGTACTGTTATAGACTGACAGTGATATGGGGGTAAAGTAGTTAATCTGTGATCAGTAGGTTTTTCATCAATTAAGTATGTTTTTTTTATATTTTTGTTTGTGTTGTTGAACGAGATTCATGAATTTTTTTTTAACCATCATATTATTAACTGTGATCTATTTTTCTTTTAATCAAATAAGTATGTCATGCTTTTTCCATGCGAAAGTTAGTAGTTTTTCAGTGAAATGAGAATGGCAACTGCCATTTTCCCTTACTATGGCAGAAGTTTATGGTATTTTACTAACCATCTGAAAGAAATATTCTTTAAATATGTCTGCAGTCATTGCCTCATGATAATCTTTGGGGATTCTTGAAGTAGATTCTAATAAATCACCATTTACAAAGCCAGTTTCAGATCCAATATGAGTAATTATTATTCTACAATCTTTTCCAATAGGTGGGTTCAAACCAGTAGAATAACCTTCCATAAAATCCTATCGTGAATTGGTAATATATTTATCAACCCAACATTTTGGATCGGTGTGCTCTGATTAACCAGGTTTCATCTAAATAATAAATTGTTTTTATGCACATTCAATATATTTGTTTTCTGTTGAGAGTAAGAACTTTTACTGGCCAGTTTCTGTAGATTAAAAGTTGGCATGGTTGCCATACTAGAATATAAATATCACAACATCCACAACACAACTAATGTTAAATAACTATTTTACAAATTATACCAAACACCCGACTAAGCACTGATAAAACCCACTAACTTTAAATCAAGGACTTTCTCATGTTTATACCTATATGTACCTATCGATTTTGTACCTTCCATAATAACCTGGATTAACTTAAATTTCTTAGAAATGAGTTGTCTTCTTAGGTACTTTTAAGCAGGTACCTCAGAGTTGATTGAATTTTATTCTGAGGTGTGTAGTATGATCATTGTATTAGTTGTTTTTTTATATATCTTAAAATACTTTATATGTAACAGACTAAATTTTATACCGTAAAACCTCGATATACCGGACCTCTATTTAAAGGACTTCAGACATAACAGACAAAAAATCTGGTCAAATGTAAAAAAAAATAAAAACGTACGTAATAAAAATTTACGATATAATAACGCGTAGGTTTCTATGATTATATGGGTGATTACCACGCTAGTCACTCACCACTCTACAGCAGTTCTAGTTTATTCGTTGTGAATGAACACATTTAGTGTATGCCAGTAAATATGTTACAATTTTTACAATTCTACCCTTTAAATATGGACAAACGGAAAAGAATCAATTTAATGATCAATCAAAAACTAGAAACTCTACAAAAGTTGGAGTCTGTGTCTGGAACATCTGTGTCTCATATATGTGATCATAATATATGTGATGTAATTATATGTGAAATAAATCAATTTGTATGAATGTGTGAAAAAGGAGAGAACAGCAATCTCAGAAAACGAAAGAAATTGGAAACAACAATCTCAGAAAATGAATGAAATTGGCTCTTAAAACTTTACTGGAAGAAGCTATCTTAAAATGGTACGGCCAACAACGTTCCAGTGGGGTGCTGGTCCGAGCAGTCGAATTCAAATCTGCTGCGATTAAATTAGCAAATAATATGGACATACCATTCAGAGCAAGTGATGGATGGCTCTCGCGCTTTCGCAGAAGACACGGAATTATAAATAAAAGAATCTACGGCGAAGTTTCAAGTCCACCAAAAGAAGAAATAGAACCTTTTAGGCAAAAATTAGTGGAACATATTAGTAATGAAATGCTATTAGAATTTCAGGTTTATAATGCTGACGAAACTGGTTTGTTATGGCGTAATTTACCTGAAAGCACACAAGCCTCCAAATATTAAAAATCCAATTCTAGAAGAAAAATCAGCAAAGACAGGGTATCGGCACTACTTTGTGCTAACGCCGATGGATCGCATAGATTGACTTCTGTAATAGTTGGCAAATCTCGTAAACCTAGAGTTTTTTAAAGATATAATAGCATCCGCCCGTTTCATATTATAGCTCCAAGAAAGCATGGTTCACCTCGTTTTTGACAAAAAAATTACATCGCTTATTCAACCCATGGACCAGGGTAAAATTTTAGCAACTAAACGAATATATCGCAGACATTTTTAGACGAAGTAATGGTTGTATTGCACGATGGAGATAACGCAGAAGATACAAGAGGGCTTGAAAACTTAAGGTCTTACAATTTAAAATCAACAATTTTTAATTTTACTGCAACATGGGAGGAAGTGAAAGAACAAACATTAAAAAATGGTTGGAAGAATTTGTTTGATGACCAAGATGTAGACATAAATTAAGTAGGTCTGGAAGTTACTGATTTCTGTAGGACAATACATAACAATGCCGGAGAACATGTAGCTGAGGAAGATGTTTTACAATGGCTAGAAGTAGATGAAGGTGACCCTGGGTATAACATCATGATTAAAAGTGAAATAGCAGCAGATGAAGGTATTTACCTAAAAAATGAGAATGAAAGTAAAGATAGCAAAAAAGACGGCAAAACAACACTGTCAAAAATGAAGTTATCAGAAGTAAGATCGCATCTCGACGATCTAGAAACATTTATTGATTATTCATTAGATAACGAAGTTCAACTGTATTTTACGCATTTTCGTAATTTTAGAGAGTTGATCATAAAAGAACAGCAAACATCGAAAGTGCAAACGAAACTTGATTCCTTTTTCAAAACAGGATTATCAACAACAAGTGCGTCGATATCAACAGCAACGTCACTTCACGACGAACGTCCGAAGACAATTAAATAGAGTTTTGTTTGTATTTTGTATTTTTTATGTATATCTAAATACAGTGTACATATATATTTAAAAAAAAAATTTGATTTATTTTAAACATATTTTTATATAACGGACTTTCGGCTTTAACGGACACCCCGTCCCCTCAAGTAGTCCGTTATATCGAGGTTTTACTGTATTACTTTTCGTTAATGATGTAAAATCCTGGGTGATCCATTAAAAATACCAATGCATTTTGACTTACTCTGTATCCGACTTATGAATATTATCAAAATTAATCATTCTCAAGAGGACAGTGTATAGTGCCTTTCCATATTTACAAAAAAAGATTTCATTGTCTTCATGTTTGTAGTATTATTGTCATATAAAATTTAAAAACCTTGTTTTAGTTGATTTATCTACTGCTTTAACCAGTGAGAGTCTAGCAGGAGTTTTGAATAATCCAGAGACTCTTCAGCAATTGCAGAATCATTTGCCAGCAGTTGATGAATGTACTCATGAAGCATTAAGAACTACATTAGCTTCTCCTCAATTTCAACAGGTGTGTATAAATATTATTAGTTGTGAATATAAATAATTATTAATTACAAAAGGTGAGGCAATTCCTGTTTTCTTTTATTGTCCGACTTATTTGGTTTTTTGAGATCCAATAGTTATATTGCAAATGTAAGAAAAAAAGTTTTAAGAAGACAATCATGTAGTAATAGTGAAAATTAATTGTTTCTTGTACCAGTACATAAATTAATACAAATGAATTTGACAATTGCTGATATTTATTTATTGTAAGACAATCAAGATAATTAAGAACGTAGAAAAATGCATTGCCTAACATTTATTTACAGAAAAGCGGACATAAATAATTGTAAATATTGAAACTAGCTATATGAATATGGACTAAAGTGACAACGTAGGGGATGGTGGGACACTATGAGAAGAAATTCAATTTTTAATTTTTTTATTTTTTGTTAGAGGACAGATTCCTTTCAAATATAGTATGTATTCTAGAAATGTTGACGTTTTCTGTACATTATACATTCAAATTGATTATCTGTGATTGATTTCAATCAATTTCATAAAGCTTTTTAAAAATCATTGCAAGTGTCTTATTGTGGCCCAAGCATGGGCCACAACGAGACACCTTATGGGCCACACTGAGACATGGTAACAAAAACACAAACACAGCGTTTTATAAGCAATGTATTATACATCTACAAAAAAACACAGTTATCTACATCGATACTTATCTAATGGAAAATACAACATTGAAGATAATGTAGAAATAGGCTTTCTAAGAAAAATATTTTACTTTACTGTGAAAAAATCCAAGTTGGCAGAGAATTTGTGGAATGAACAAAGTCTGACTGAGGAAAACAAAAATAGCCTGAATTTTTTAAACTTCTCCTTAAAACACTTACTTCTACATCACCATTTGTGTCCTTTGTTGAGATTACTTTGCCTATGTAATAAACATCTCTCAAGTCTTTAGTCTCAAACTTAACTAGTGTGATGTGGAGGAAGAATATAAAGGATTAAACATGGTTTTATTTTACTTATATTTTTAACTAACAGTCGAACAGTGATTACAATTATAACCTTTTTTTTACATAGACAATTGACATGACATTTGTTATATCTTCTTCTTCTTCTGTTCTCTATTACAATATACTACAACACCTCCCCACTATAAGTTTAAACGCACAGGTGGTTTTACATTTCTTTTTGGCCTACTTGGAACTGCTGTCACACTTTCTTTGGTCTCTGGTTTCTCATTAACCTCACCAACCACTGCTTCAGTTGCTACTTCATTACCAGACTCTTCAAAATTTCTTGCTTCAATATCATTTTGTTTTAACACTTCCCCTTCTCTTACAGCTGAGAGGGGTTCGACACTATTACTAATGGTATTATTATTATTATTATTAGTTATATCAGTTACAATGGTTTCATTAAGACTATCGTAGTTAGAATCAGATTCTTTGTCTCGCAAAATCTGGTCTAAATGTCTTTTCCAAATTAAACCTTCCTGTGTTAACTTACACAAATATATCCTGTCACCTAAAAGTTCATCTATTATTGCTTTTGTCCATGTTTTACGATTAGGATAACGATAATCTCTACAAAGGACTTTATCCCCCACTTGAAAAGTTTCAATTCGTCTATTACTATTTAATTTATTATCAATTAATTTAGAACTCTGATTCTCACTACCTGTGCATAACAAATCTAATCGGGTTTTAACTTTATGTTTAAATACAAGACTGGAGGGTGATACACCTGTAGTACAATGTACTGAATTTCTATAATGGAACAATAACTTACTGATTATAGTTTGTAAAGAATTATTACAGTTGTAATCATCCTTCAATCCTTTCAAAGCAGCATTTTTAAATGTCTTAACAAAATTCTCTGCAAACCCATTTGTTGCTGGATGATATGGTGGTGATGTAGAGTGTTTAATAACATTATTATGTAAAAACTGTGAAAATTCACCTGGTGAAAATTGAGAGCCATTATCTGTAACAACTACTTTAGGTAAACCAAACCGAGCAAAACAATCTCTAAATTTCTCAATAGTCTCCCCAGCAGTCAAACTATTCATAATAAATGCTTCTGGCCATTTTGTAAAAGTATCAATGATTATCAAAATCATTTTATTTCTTATGGGACCCAAAAAATCAGCATGCACCCTCTCAAACATACATGTTCCCTTTTCACATGATATTAACTTAGCTTTACTTGGTTCTGCTCTAAACCCTAAACAAATTTTACAATTATTTACATAAGATTCAATATCTGTATCTAAACTTGGCCACCAAAAATAAGCTCGTGCATTTGCTTTCATCTTGGAAATTCCTTCATGTGTATTGTGCAACTCTACAGCAATTGTTTTCTTAACTTTGTTGGCACTACTACTCGAAATCCCCACATAATCTGTAACGACTATTTTGCTTACCACAGGGTAAGAATATGGGGGACAAGATTGGGCAAACAAAATAATCGAAACAAAGTGCATACGGACACTCAGTTGGTTGTTGGAGAGCTGGGTCGTGGATAAGTTGAAGATATTGGGGGTTAGATTGGGCAACTACAAAAAAAAGAAATAAAGGGGTACTTATACAAATCTCTTGGGACAAACAGAATGAAAATTAACGGAAACACCTCAAGAAATTTAATATAGGGCGCCACTTGAGGTGCCCAATTATACCTATTACAACCACTAGTTGTAACTAGGGAAATAATTGTATATCAAAAACATAGAAAAAAAAAATATCTTTTTCAAATAAAACTCAAAATAGATCAGAGAAACAAATTAAACATTTATTTTTGTCTCACCAAACAGTTATCAAAAATACAGATTTTACAAGAACATATTATACAAACATAATACAAAAATTAGCAAAAACTTACGTGCTTATTTGTCTACAAAGGAGATTGCTATAAATATTTACAAATTTTACTGAAATATTAACTGTTGTACTGTTAATGAAACTGTGTCAGAAATAATTTATTACAAATAAAGAAATATCTTTAAAATGAAAACATTCATAGAGAGGTTAATCTTCTTTAAAAAACCAAGGCAAATTATTGTCAAAAAAAATAATAAAGTTAGCTGCTAGCTGTCAACATAAAATCTTAATCTTACTTACAACGGAGAACAAATCAAATTGAAAGCATAACCACACTCTAAGATTTACAATATTAATTATTAAAACTTTTAAATTGTATGAAAGCAATTATTATTTTAATGTTTCTTTTCCTTCAAAAGTTTAAAACAAAAAAGGGTTACCTTGGTTTCACTAAACACACTAAGATTTTTGGGGTTACCTTCTCTGCCACACGATCAAATCTATTTCCATACTGTGAGACATATTCTGGGACGGCTTCTTAGGACAAATATTACAAACTTGAGGTTAAAAATTTGGAACACAAGACTTTGGAAAGGGCTTCTTAAAAAAACAGGAATACACAAAACTGGACACAACGGCAACATGTGAGATTATCTTTCGAAAATTTTTGCAGGCAACACAAATCCCTTAGGTACTTAGAAAAATGAAAATAGTGATTACTCCTTTCAAATTTGACATATTACATAGAATATAGTCTACTATTTTCAACACTTTTTAGCCGGTCTCTTTACCGACTTTCTACATTGTCAGCCGTCTGCCCAGTTTCAAATCTTTTCTTGGACTCTACATTGTATAACATCTACACCGTTTCAAATCTGTTCTTCGACTCCTTTGCTCGTTACATTTTACAAGAAACTAGCCAAAAATTTCCCTTCCGTCTTGCAGCTAACCTCTCCACAAACTCTAGAACCAAAACAATATCCCCTCGCTCGTATCGACAAAAAAGACAAATTTTAAATGTTCCTTTATTGCCTAAACAAACAAATATCCTTTTTTTGACCCTCGACTAATAACGAAAAACAACTTTAATATTAGGGGAATTCATGATTTATTGCGTTTTTAACGAAGAAAACAAATAAAACCTTTTTTTTATCAGGGGGCATCATAAATTTACATAATACAAATTAACAAAATACGTGCGTATTTTAAACTTGAGTTTTACCTGGCTTATAACAAAGGGTTCGATATTTGAATCTAAACACAGACAAAAAAACATCTATATTTACTTTTGAATCGGTAGAAATATACGCATTTAAAAATCTCGTCAAAAAAACTTGAAATATTATTTCGATTGTTTTCTTTGGTAAAAACAACAGGGACGTAACACAGAAATCTTTTCTATACACTTAAATAAAAAAACGCTACAATGCCCCTTCTTAAAAGAAAAAACTCGGATAATTCTTATCCAGTTTTTGATAAAGGCAAAACAACAAAAACCAAATCAGAAGATGACCTCTTAACTGAGTCGAAACTTCTTAATAATATCTTTTAGATGATGGCTAGCGTGGGATTAAACAACAAAAACAAAGTTAGTTACAAAGAATGGGCTAGCGTGCCATCGATCGCCAGACTCTTTAAAGTCGAGTAGACTGAAATTTTTGACTCTACTTGAACTGTAGGTGACATGAGTTTCTATGCCTTGGGGGAAGCTAACCTTATGCCCTGCAGTGAACCTCGCTGACATTCACAGCAGTAACACAAGTGATTTGTCGGGCAGGCATAGCCATGACACCTCGTTGCCTAAACCAAGTGCTATACACAAATCCAAAATAAATTGCTCTACACTTAATATGTAGGCGTTACTATCTCCACTATACGCCTAGCGAGACAGGGAATTCGGCAACGGTTCCACAAAAAAAATTAGGATATAGACCCAAAATCTATATACCTACATATGACAAAATGTGATTCTCACATGTGTCTCCCAAATGGGTTACCTGAATTAAAATTATCAAAAGTGAAACAATATTCCGAAGGGATGAAATCAAATCAACATATAAACTCGAAAATACAGACATGGGATAGGATGAACTAATTACTTAAAGATGACATATTGTCCTCATCTGACACAAAAGGCTTTAAATCTTTAATGTGCCACTTACCAAGATCCGAACCATTTAAATCTGACAAACGA